TTTACCTTCGTAACGTTCAGATTTGTAGGTGGCGAGGTGACACACATACACATTCCCATACACCTCTCTCACAGGAATGGGGGTGACTGTAAAGACAGTGGTAAGCAATTCTACCTGGGGACCTACAGGGTCAGGGTGCAAACAGGCTGGGAATAGCTTCCTCCCAACCACTCAAAGATACGCTTAGCGAAGTTTTCCCAAATCAGCACTATGTGAAGCTATGGCAAATACAGGGCTTGGATCCTCCTAGCCAGCACCTTAGGGGAATTGGTTTTGAACTTTCCCTGGGTTCCAGCTTAATCAGAGGTAGCGGGGGAAGGAAGGAGCCTGCCAGCCTGGCTGTTGATGATCTGAATGATCTGACTAGGGCTGGTTCTCCTCACAGGTCTGGGAGCAGGACATACCCCGCTGCAGGGGATATGGAGGAGCAGTGGGGCTTTGAGGGGTGTGAGAGGCACAGCAGGGAGAGGACAATGACAGGGGAAGCATATGAAAGATCTATTTATAGGCAACAGAGGTGACACACAACCAGCCATGGCCTGCCTTGCACCACAGCCACCACAGCAGCCAGTGCTGGCTGGAAACAGAGCAGGCAGGGGGTAAGTCTGCTGACCAAGAGCTGGCACACAGCAGGGACCAAAAGGCAGAGTGGCCAACCCCGCACACTGCAGCTTTTCTCAATCACTAGCCTTCCACATACATACCCATCATCACCCACTGGATCCCTCCACTCACCACTGGTGGGAGATTAGCTTGCGAGCTGGGATTCAGCCAACAGTAGGACCCACCAGTACCGATGGAAGTGGTGAGACAGAAAATATGGGACAATTTGCCCATTTTTAAAAACAAGTAGGAGCACCTCAATGAGGGCTTAAAAACAGGACATCTGGTCACCTTATCTTAAAATATCCTGTTAAAATCTACCAGATTGCTTTGAATTGTCATGGGAAATCTGTGCCAATTCTAGGGAAACTCCTGGCCAATGCTGTGCTTTCATATATTTGTCCCTGCCTCTGTAATTTCCACACCATTTCATCTGGTGAAGTGGGTTTTACACATGAAAGTTTGTGTCCTAACAAATCTTTTCATCTCCAAGTTGAAAGACTTGCTCCTCCTTGCTCCAGCAAAATGTTTAAGTTGCATGAGTAGCATCACACAGAAACTCCATGGCAGAGGCAGAAATTGAATCCAGTTCTCCAGCATTCAAGTAGAACCAGTGCTTTTTTTGTGATGGTACTGCCCGGTATTCAGTAGTAGCACTCCACTGCACCTCTGTATGCAAATGTCCTACCCTCCCCCCAGCTTTTTTTTTTTTTTTTTTTTGGCTCAACAATTTTACCCCTGGAGTACTGGCACCTTTTTTTTTAATACAAAAAAAGCACTGAATAGAACCATCCTTTCTCATCTGACAATCCCCTGCCTTCTTCACTATACATCCAGCAGCTTCTGCAACAAATGAAGCAGTGGTTCTACAGATAAGAGCTTCATTCAAAGCACAGCCTAGATTTATTCCTTAACCAGCTCCATTCTATCCACTGAATGTTTGGTCCTGTTGGAAAAATACTGTCATAGTAGTAGTGTGATCACTATGGATTACATTTCCATGTTGGTGATTGCTATAGTCATCCAGAGGGATGTGTTGTATCCTTCCTGACATGGGAGTCTATCTATTGACTTTGATTTTTATCTGCTTCGGTTTAACTATCCAATGTTCAGATACTTACTGATGCTCTGTCTCTCACCCCCCTCTTTTTTTTCCATCCCCCCTCCGCTTCCCCTCTCCTATTTATTTCGGGTGTACACATCCCAAACTCATAATTCCAGTCATCAGAAGAAGTGGGCTGTGCCCACGAAAGCCTGTAATAACATCTACATGTTTTGTTAGTCTATAAAGTGCTACCAGACCATGTGTTGTTTATAAAGGGATGTGGTTGTCACAGTCATGGCTGGAAAGGGATGATGGTCTGTGCTTTGGTGAATGGTCTTCTCGATGATCTCTACTAATATTTCCACTCTAATTCATCTGATGAAGTGGTTTTAACATGAAAGCTCATGATATATTAGGTAGCCTCTTCGGTGCCACAGGACTGCTCATTGTTTCTATTAATACCTGATCCACATAATGAAAGTGTTTGATAACTTCCAACCAGTGTTATCTCTAAGCTGCATGGCAGCACAGCTTTACAGGTGATGTAATCAGCCCCACCCATTCAGTGAGCTCACTGCACTGAGCACAGAGTCTCTGACTGGGCAGGGTTGATTAATCACCTGTGAAGCTGTGCTGCCCCCCATTTTAGAGTAAACACTGCTTCCAACCAAAGGGTATGCCTAGACTGCATCCCTCTGTCGGCAGAGGGCTGCAGATTAGGCAGGTTGACATAGCAAACGAGGCAGGGATTTAAATATCTCACGCCTAATTTTCATAAAAATGGCCGCTGCGTTTTGCCGACTCAGCACTTTGTCAGCAAAAACGGCTGTCTAGAGTGGGATCTGTCGAGAAAGAAAGCCTTTTTTGACAGATCCCTTATGCCTCCTGCAAGATTCCCCCTCTAGACTGCCGTTTTTGCCATTTTATGCAAATTAAGCATGGGACATTTAAATCCCTACCTCATTTGCATTGTCGACCTGCCTAATCTGTATCCCTCTGTCAACAGAGGAATGTAGTCTAGACATACCCAAAGGCTTTTGAAAGATTATTCAAATTCTAAATAACTGAGCATTTGCAATGTGTAGCCTGTCAGGTGGAGCATCAACTTTCTCCCATAATAGCTAAGCCCAATGTATTTCCATTAAAAGATGTTTTCTGTGAAAGACTATGTCAAATCTTTCAAGAAGGTTGCTCCTGATTATATATATCTGTGATGTAGAATGTATCAAAATGATAAAATAATACATTTTGTCTTTTGTTTATTTTGTTTTGTATTTTAGTTTGCAGGTCATTTGCAAACCAGTTTTGTTATTTGCCTAAATATTTCATATTCACCAACAATTTCAGGTTAATTATTTGTGAATTACTTACTTTTAGCATTCATAGTTTGTGGCCCTGGGATTGGTTAGGCATGTGCTGTTTTTTCTGCTTCCTAATTTACAAAAAAACAAATGTTAGAAAGTTAAGCAAGTGATTAAGTGCTTTGCTGAATCAGATCTTGAATGACTGAATTTATTCAGTAGGAAAATTATGTATAACAAATGGTAAATAACAATTCATGACATTTTATAATGAATATGTGAAATCCTGGATACTCATAAACACATTAATAATTTAATGGCAGTCACTGGAATAGTCTTGCCAATAGTATGATCCACAAACAGTCGCAAATCAAAATTCAACTGCGTATTCACAAATCTTTTTTCCAATTATTCAACAAGTTCTAGTACTCATCGATGAATTATATCAACTATACAATAAAATGTAGCTACATAAAATGTCAATGTTGTAGCTCAGTTGAAGTTCCTTTTATGATAGAATATCACTAAGTTTAACAAAAATGCATGGTGATCATAACAAGAATTTTTAAAATATTGGAATGAGAACCTTCAAAAGCAGTAAGGAAACTTCTAGAATAAGTCAAAATGTCTGTTTTTAATATCTCAAGCTTTGCTACTTTTTTAAAAATAATACTAAAAGATCAACCTTATCTATAGAATTTTATTAATTTATCAATATCCTACAAAGCATTCATTTGTTAGAACCTCCATTTTGAACCTCTGGCATTTCAAAAGATTACCCAGATATGACATTTTAAATAAACAAATCTCTCAATATCAGATGATATTGCAGTTTGAAATGTTACTATGAGAACAAGGTATTGTTCCCTTGAAAAACTCAAGCTTTTAACAAATCAATATTAAATATTTTGGAAAGTGCTTTGTAAATGAACGGTTTGGGGATCATGAGAAAGACTGGTAGCTCTGTACAGTAAAGTGAGTGGGATTTTTGCTGTTGATATCAATGTTTGAATGTTGAGTCAAGATTCTTTATAAAATTTTAAGTCAGGAATTCTTAAATTAAACTCAAACTTTCTTTTTAACCTAAAAAAAGAGAGAAAAGAATTAACATTCTTATGTCAGTGATACAAGATAGCAATATTAGTTAATTAGTGTACTAATAGCAACTGGTGTTGTGATGGCAGCTGACCATAGTTCTACAAGGCCTTAAAGAATTCTTGCAAACTCCAGCTAGGGTGCATCTACACAGCAGGGCTTAACTCAAAATAAGCTATGCAAATGGAGCTAAGTCAATTGCATAGCTTATTTTGAAATGGCTTATTTCAAGTTTTGGTGCTGTATACACAGCACTTATTTTGAAATAGAGCACTCTTTCTCCCACTTCCCGTACTCTTCATAAATGAGGGTTACAGGAGTCAGAGTAAGAAGTCCTCCAGCTTGACATTATTTCGACATTATGTTGAAATAATTGCCTGCTTTGTAGATGTGGACTATGTTATTTCAAAATAAAGCTATTTATTTCAAAAGAATGTTGCTGTATAGACATAGCCCAGCAATTTTTTTTACAAAAGTTTAGTGAACAGAAGAGTGAAGCCAACGGCTACTGATTTCATAGTTAGATGGCTATTTCATTGTGCTTCATTGTTACACAAAGTTTGTAAAAACTACGCGAGAACCAGTTTTTATATATTTAATTTAGCCTTTTGAGTCAATCCTAAGTAATATTCCAAAAATCTCTCACTGAGATGATTTTACAAATTTTTTTTTTTAAAGAATGCTTAGTGTTTCATTTTTAGTGGACTAGCAGAGGTCAGATCTGGCCAGGTTCTAAAGAGCTGCTTTTTTTTCAACTAAGTTAACAGAATTCTGATACTATATTGTAAATATATATTATTTTAAAATAATTTAGTGTTTTTATTGATAGACTGCTATAATTCTATCCTATTGTTATGGAATTAGTGCTTTGTCACAAACAGAAAATAAGATTTAATGTTATTAGATAAAAATAACAATGATAATAAAACTGTTTTTTCAATATTAATATTTTTCAGTCTAAAACATATATGTGCAGCTGGCAAGGAGTAGCCCTGTGTTTCACAGTTGACTTTGCCTTGGGATTCACCTGTTTTGACAGTAAAACAAAGGTAAGAGGAAAAGGGCTTAAAACATAGTCTGTTCTATTCTACTATCAATGAGCTTGGTTTTATTAATATTTTATAACAGATTCTGTATCTGCTGCACGGTTGGTTGTAATTCAGTGAGAAACAAAGTAATCCCTATAAATGTGAAGTATGGAGAGCATTTTGGGATCCGTTGGATGAATAACTGAATAAATAAAATATATATTTATAGTTTTAAAAATAATAACCTTAGCCTTTGTTTGCCTAGAGGTTTTGATCCCAAAGCACATTACAAAATCTGTTGATATGGTCCCACTGAAATGCACACACTCAGGCCCACCGATGGGAGGTCGGGAGGGCAAAGGAGACAATTACCCCAGGGCACGGTGATTCTAAAATACCTGGGGCGCCCACCCACCAGAGCCCCAAGCCCTTTAAATTGCAGCTAGAGTGCTGTGTGGTACACTTTGAGCAACACTGAATACTGCGGGGGAGGGGAGGAGGAAGAGGGCACATGGCACTCTCCCCGTGTTAGGTTTTCTAAAGTGTATAGAAAAGGGAGCTGGCAGTGTCAGGCCCCTGTCTACTGAACCTGCAGGAGAGGAGGAATCTATAAACTCCATCTAAAGATGATGCAAAGCCAGCAAGATGTTCCACAATTCAACTGAAATGTAATGTGAGCCTTTTGGTATTTTGTGAGTGAACTCCTGAGCTTAGATAAATTGGTGTGAGTCAACTATGTTAATTTACACTCGGTGAGGATCCATGTTTCTAGCAGCACAGTAAATCCATCTACCGTATAAATAAATAAATAAGACAGTCACCTCTTAGTCTTAACACTGGGGCTTGTTCTCAGAACAGAGCTATATTTTTTAACATGTGTGAAGGAAGTTAATCAAACCATTTTGGATTATTTTTACAAGGTGTATCTGTAATTTGAATGTGGTATTACTTAAAGGCATTATGACTGGGATCTGTTCTCATTGATGCTGGTGTAAATATGGAATAATTCCATTCCACGTGCAGTATCCTTTACTGCAATGTAAAATTTAAAGAGCTGTAAATTCACATTTCTTTTTTTTAAAGGGTATTAGTATTAGTTACATTACCTTGGCCTTCTCAAATACATTGTATATATCTTCCTCCTTTCTGCAGTTTCAGCTGGCTATGGATTTTTATATACCGTATTTTCCGGCGTATAAGGCTACTGGGCGTATAAGACGACCCCCTAATTTTTTAGTTAAAAGATAGGGTTTCGTCTTATACCCCAGCGCCCCTCCGCCTCCCCGGCTTTGCTCCCGGTGTGCCTGGGCTGCCCTGCCGCCGGCTTCCCCCGAGGCTTTGCAAAGCTGCGGAGGGGCCTTGCCGCCGGCTTCCCCCGAGGCTTTGCAAAGCTGCGGAGGGGCCTTGCCGCCGGCTTCCCCCGAGGCTTTGCAAAGCTGCGGAGGGGCCTTGCCGCCGGCTTCCCCCGAGGCTTTGCAAAGCTGCGGAGGGGCCTTGCCGCCGGCTTCCCCCGAGGCTTTGCAAAGCTGCGGAGGGGCCTTGCCGCCGGCTTCCCCCGAGGCTTTGCAAAGCCACAAAGCTGTATACCCGGCGTATAAGACGACTTTTGATGTTAAAAAACATCCCCCAAAAATCGGGGGTCGTCTTATACGCCGGAATATACGGTACTTCTTATGCTAAATAGTTGTCATAGTATTGTTGTATACGTTCAAACAGATTCTGCTTCTTCTGCAAAATGGGTTGCAAGTCAGTGAGAAATAGAGAAATCCCTGTAAAAGTTTGGAGAACATTTCGGGATCTGATGGATGAATATCAAATAAATAAAATATAAATGTATAGTTTTAAAAAATAATAACCTTAATCTTTGTTTGCCTGTCCTATATTCTGAAATGGAATACTAGTGTGAAATGAAAAATAAATGTCTCCTTGAAGAAGTCTACCCAGCGCATTATTAACAGGAAAAGTCACTTGGAGGAAATGGTGACACATGGCTCTATTTCTCTGTTAAGTTTCAATGAGTTTTCATATAACTATTACTGTCAATGGAGAGTTGTCCACAGATTTCACAAAAGACTTTTTAAAAATAGATTAATTTAAAGTAGAGAGCTGCAAATTTGATACAGAAAAATGGCTGATCTAATATCAAATTGTGTTTTCAGGAGCAAAAAGGGAAACATTAACTTAATCAATGTTTAATGGCATATCAGAGTATCAGATCAATATATGCTACCCTGACTAATTCAATTTATTCAAGAGCAAGTGCTGCAGGAGAATGCTGAACCTCAACAGTAATTTCGCATTGACACACTAAAAGAAAATACAAGACTCTTACGACAATAAGAGAAAATAGAGGGCATAGTCATGTTGTCTGCATACAAATCTCTGCAGAAGGCATTTAGATCCACAGTTCTGTTTCGGCCTTGAGCATTGTTCATAAGTGTTCTGTGGACTTGGGCTGAGGCCTTTTGCACAGTCATCTCTATCCTTTAAAAA